CAAGGAGGAGGGAGAGGTTGAGGAAGAGATCTCCAACAGCAGCACGACGGCGTGGTGGTGATGGAGTGGCAGTACTCCGGCAAGGCTTCGTCAAGCTCTTAACGGAGGAGGAGAGGTGTTGGGGAGGGGAGGGGCTGCGCCTTGGATGTGGTGTGCAGCCCTCCCCTCGCCCCTCTATTTATAGGGGAAGGGGGAAGGGGGCCGGCCCCCTCTAGATGAGATCTAGAGGGGGGTCGGCAGCCAAGGAGAGAGGGGCTTGCCCCCCAAGCAAGGGGGGCGCCCCCTCTAGGGTTCCCCCCCCCCCAACCCTAGGCGCATGGGCCTAAGGGGAGTGCGCCCAGCCCTCCAGGGGCTGGTTCCCTGCCCACTACGCCCCATGAGGCCCTCCGAGAGAGGTGGCCCCTCCCGGTGGACCCCCGGAACCCCTCTGGTGGCCCCGGTACAATACCGATATGCCCCCGAACTTTTCCGGTGACCGTATGACAACTTCCCATATATAAATCTTCACCTCCGGACCATTTCGGAACTCCTCGTGATGTCCGGGATCTCATTCGAGACCTCGAACAACATTCGGTAATCACTTACAAGTCTTCCTAATAACCCTAGCGTCACCGAACCTTAAGGGTGTAGACCCTACGGGTTCGGGAATCATGCAGACATGACCGAGACAGCTCTCCGGCCAATAACCAACAGCAGGATCTGGATACCCATGTTGGCTCCCACATGTTCCACGATGATCTCATCGAATGAACCACGATGTCGAGGATTCAAGTAATCATGTATACAATTCCCTTTGTCAATCGGTACGTTACTTGCCCGAGATTCGATCGTCGGTATCCTAATACCTCGTTCAATCTCATTACCGGCAAGTCAGTTTACTCGTACCGTAATGCATGATCCCGTGACCAACCACTTCCTCACATTGAGCTTATTATGATGATGCATTACCGAGTGAGCCCAGAGATACCTCTCCATCATACGGAGTGACAAATCCCAGTCTCGATTCGTGTCAACCCAACAGACACTTTCGGAGATACCTGTAGTATACCTTTATAGCCACCCAGTTACGTTGTGACGTTTGGTACACCCAAAGCACTCCTATGGTATCCGGGAGTTACACGATCTCATGGTCTAAGGAAATGATACTTGACATTAGAAAAGCTCTAGCAAACGAACTACACGATCTTGTGCTATGCTTAGGATTGGGTCTTGTCCATCACATCATTCTCCCAATGATATGATCCCGTTATCAATGACATCCAATGTCCATGGTCAGGAAACCGTAACCATCCATTGATCGACGAGCTAGTCAACTAGAGGCTCACTAGGGACATGTTGTGGTCTACGTATTCACACATGTATTACGATTTCTGGATAACACAATTATAGCATGAACAATAGACAATTATCATGAACAAGGAAATATAATAATAACCATTTTATTATTGCCTCTAGGGCATATTTCCAACACAAGGACCAGAGGGAGAACCTCTCCCCATCTAGGGGGGAGGCCATGGAGGAGGAAGCACAAGGGGGAGACTCTCTCCCCCTCTCTCTCGGTGGCACTGGAGTGCCGCTGGGGGAAGCATCACCGCGGTGATCGTCTTCATCAACATCACCGTCTTCATCACCTTCCTCATCCCTTTTCAACGGTCGACTCTCCCGCATAACATTGTAATCACCTACTTGAACATGGTGCTTTATGCCACATATTATGATACATCATGTGTTGCCATCCTATGATGTTTTGAGTAGATTTCTTTTGTCTTTTGGATTGATTGATGATCTAGATTGGTTTGAGTTGTATGTTTTATTTTGGTTCTATCATGTGGTGCCTTTTGTGCCACGCACACGTGAAGGATTCCCGTTGTAGGGTGTTGCAATACGTTCATGATTCTCTTATAGTGGGTTGCTAGAATGACAGAAGCTTGAACCCGAGTAAGGGGGTTGTTGCATATGGGATAAAGGGGACTTGATACTTTAATGTATAGTTGGGTATTACCTTAATGATCTTTAGTAGTTGCGGATGCTTTCTAGAGTTCTAATCATAAGTGCATATGATCCAAGTAGATAAAGTATGTTAGCTTATGCCTCTCCCTTATATGAAATTGCAATAACGATTACCGATCTTGTTAACAATTGCCTAGGACAATTCCTCACACCGATCCATCATTATTCCACACTCGTATTTATAATATATTGTAATATATTCTAACTTTATGTTAACATCACCTATTTTATATTTTAGTTCTCCGATATCATGCAAAGCTATCGACTTCATACCCACAACATAGTTTTATTTCTCGTTTCTAGATGGAAGCAAACGTTCGGTGTACGTAGAGTTGTATCAGTGGCAAATAGGACTTGAGAGAATATTGATCTTACCTTTAGCTCCTTGTGGGTTCGACACTCCATACTTGTCACTTCCACCTTTGGAAATTGCTTCGATGATTCCTTGCACTTGGGGATTATCACAGCTTCGTACAGCCAGTAGTTGGCTATACTATTAACCATGCCCTTAAAACCAATAAAACTCGGCCTCCTATGAGCCCTCACAATGATTTTGGGTTGTCAGATGTCTAATGCACTTTTGAGTGCTCCAAGGATAATAGTAGAGCCAGCGTGGACTATATAAAACTGACATGGCATTAAAAGGTAACTTATTAATTACTCCATCGTATAGTAAGGTTGGCTATTACTTTAATACACCTTTTCTATCTCTGTCTTCCACCTCATTTAAATTTTTTACCTAGGTGCGCGCGTGGAGGTCAGTTCTTGCCTGAGAGTCTGTTGCTTCTCTTTTCTCTTATCTCTCTCCTTCACATGGGAAAAGTGTCATATAAGCAGGCTCATAGCCTACTTTAGAGCATGACTAATAATATAGTAAGTTGTTGGCTATATGCAGTTGCCGTGTCCTATAGAGTTATTATCTATAGTCACTTGTATAGTAATGTAAGCTATATGGGTGACTATTGGACTAGTACATTTTTCAACCTTCTTTGTTTCTTTTTCTTTGTATATATTGCATTTGCCTATGAGCACTCATAGAACTGGGCTCTTGCATAAGAGTCCACTTACAGTAATTTTCTCTTGCCTCTCTTCTCAAGCGGGCTATAAGCTCCTTATTGCACTTGCTCTAAGAGCATGGTTAATAGTAGAGCCAAGTGTTGGCTATATCTTGTTGCCAAGTCATCTATAGGCATCCTAATAGCCAACATGTATAGATGTTAGTTACAAAAAAATTACTTTATTAATACATGGTACATCTCACAATGTTTCTTGAAGCCCCTACTACAACTAGCTCTTAATTTACAGTCGCTCCACTTTTGTCTCCTCTTCTATCACATCTAACTCAGTAAAAATATAATTTTAATCCTTATAGCCAGCTTACATCATCCTATTACACTTACTATAAGGATGGGCATCATGACCTAGACACGCATGGATTGGGCTAGGTGAAAACGAGCTTGCACGGGTGCATAGCGGTTTTAGTGGGCGTTGATTGGACCATGCATGTATAACTAATTTCCTAGTGACCAAACGAGCACCTCCACTAGTGCATTCCTTTTCTCTTTTGCCTTCATTTACCACTAAAATTGAGGGGAGAGGGGGGTTGTGGGTTTTGATTGGCTATTTTTCACGGGTGAAATAATTTGCTTGTGGGAGCGAAGTGCATGAGATGCATGGTGACTTCTACGCTTGGATCACCTGATTTTTATTAGGCGTCCTATGCACCTAAGCAAAGGGGTAACTTGGTTTTAACGATGTATTCACTACTACAGCCAGGACACTTGTGTCTTCATACGCTTTGCATAGGGTCTATCCCGAACAAGATAAGATGATCATTAGAGCATGAAAGTGAATGTGAGCGCATGGAGAATGACAACGGAACTTCAAGTAAAAGATTTCAGGACACTAAAGCCATCGCAATAGCGTATGAAGACATGGACAAAACATAAAACATTACGTATCATATTTTCATTCATAGCTTTTAATGGGTGTTGCGTCGTCTTACTTCTCGACTAGGTCCATGTAAATTCGTAATACAAGACAATAGGCAGTTTTTACAACCTATACCAGTGGAGGAAACCGACCTATGACATCTTTACTCAGATTTTATTTTATTTTGTCAAGAGTTTTCACAACTACAGTTTCACGTACTTCATTTGTGTCCAACAACCAGGTCAAGATCGTTTACTGAACCCAAAATTTCATCAATAGTTCATCCTTATTCATAATGTCCAGATTTCATATCATGGTTCTTATTCATTATTGATTGTTTGTGGAAATTAGACCCAGGCAACCAGTTTGATCGTGTTCCAGCTGGTCAGTAACAACTTTATACTTGATTTAGCGATTGCATAGGCGCAACATCGTCGCTCGTTGTAGTCGGATCATGAACGTCGACTCTACTCAAATTGATGTGTACTTCTCATTGATAGATTGGACACCTTAGTGCTATGAATATTAATGGTGTCATGCACACCATATAGAGAGCACCTAATACTAATGAACGCCAATATGTACTCCCGACCAACATGGCATGCAAAAATATGGGATAAATCACAATTTTTATTGATCTAATAACACATACGGACTTCACATGTGTGTGCATCAATATAGTGCTTATTGAATTGCACGATAATAATCATCACCCACAAGATGACTAAAGATTTTACTCAAAAGTTAAATTCAGCAAGCATAGTTTACTTTGGTTAGATTTGGTTGAATCAACAATATTGTATGCTAGCTTTGATTAGGTACGACAGTTGGCAGAAATGAGAATAGTGGTGGGGAATGACTAAACGGACCACACCACCAACTCCAATCATTATAACTAGGAAATTGGAAATAGAAATTGAACATTCATACTTCGCCTAAAGGCTATAGCTATGCATAAATCAAGCTAATGACCAGAACCAGGCTTATCATGCGCTCTATGTACATCATTTACTAAGAGAACCAATAATCCATATCGTTGTTTGTGTATACTTGCCCATCTATTTATTATGTCGATCATAAGAAGAGAAAATGTGGTCCATGCTGCTGCCGAAGTTGAACATGACGTCTCCGAGATCCAGAGTCGGGAAATCCGTGTCCCTCGGTGCGGTGGACACGTTCATCTTCATGTTGGCGATGCTCCCCATGCCGGTGCCAGAGCCCGCCAAATGGCCTTGGAAGCTTGCCGGCATCCAGCTAATGTCGAGCTTGACTGGCGTGGACAACGCGGCCGAGTGCGTCCTCTCAGCCAGTTCCATGGGGAGGTCTCTAGTGGGGAGGCCGGAGCCTGTCGCGGCGGTCGGAGAGTTGGCAGCAGAGGTTGTGGTGCTAGCTATGGGGAGCATGAGTAACGGGGTGATGGAAGTGAGGCAGCTGTGGTCGCCACAGTATGTTACCTCGTACATGAAGGTGTCGTCATCCAAGCGCTGCACCTTCTTCTTCGCATCACAACCATAGTAGTTCTTATGAGTGCACCGATAGTAGCTCCTGTTGATTACATTGAGCATGCAATTTCATCATCACAAACAAAGATTGTCATGTAGTTATGCATGATACACGTACTATGTTGGCATGAGTGTTGAGAACTGCATTCATGGATCTTAGAGTGGCTACTACCAAAAATCTCTAGTCATCCTCCAAACTATGTATTTCTATCTTACTCTGTAATTATGTATGATTAAGACCATGCACTACTTTGAACATTGTCCTACATTAATTTGTATATGCATGCATGATGTAGATTATTGCTTAACTGAAAGTGTTCATCTGCAATGAAGATCTTCTTTGTATAAGGCTACTTGTAATAAGAGGAATCATGCCTTCATAGTGTATAGTATCATAGGTAATTATTTTAGATGACCTTATTTATCATTTTGTATGACACATAGTAACATATCATTTAATACGATACGGTATCATGATATGTTATCGAGTTTTCTCTTTCTTCATTTGATGGCATGTCACCTTATTCTATGCATGATGCTTGTTATTTTTTGAAATGGCAGGATTCCTGTATTTATTAATAAGAAGAGAGCTGCTCGTTTAATTAGGGGAAACTGAGTGAAAATCAGATTACTTAGTTTATTTAAGGAAAACCGGCCGAAAACCATCACAACCGCTGAGCGACACACATAAGATACCCCACGCACACCCTAGAGACAGCACGCATGCGTCATCGTGACCACTCTTCCCCTAAAGGCGTCATCGACATCCTAAACCTGAGCAAACGACTCTGACTTGTTACGATATCCTCACTACAGGAGGTCTAATGCATCGTATGTACACGCAGGATTGAGGAAGACTCCTCATGCATGCATGGTCATGCCTAACTAATTTCACCCTTACACATCGTAACGAGGCACACGTGAGAGCAATAAATGGGAATAAAAACTGCTACATATTCAGGCTACACCTATGGGATCTAACCTAGCTCTATTTGCTATCAGGGGCAGAGAATATCCAACCAAAGATGCCACATTACATGGTGAGACAATTTCGTACGAAATCTTTTTGTAAGTGTAGCAACGATGGGGTTGTGGGGTTGCTGACCAGTGACTAGTCAGGCAGTGAATGTATCACTATTGCCGCCCTCACAAGTGTACCCGCTTGGATTGAGAAAGCAAAAAAAAGTGGAACAAATTGGTATAATGAACGGGGCAATTAGGCACGCATACACCAAAAGTGATGAGTTAATGAAGTAATTGGATGTGTTCATTACCTTGGGTACCTTGAGCCGAGAATATCTTTTTGGCCGTACTTGCGCCACGTGTATCCGTCGTCTGGTGGAAGTTCAGTGTTGCCCGTCCGCTGTGCAGGTACCAACACCATCTCCCTCTTCCCGCTTTCCCTCCTAAAAGAAACAAAAAACACATCATTAGCTTAACTTATTAAGAAACACAAACAAATTATAACCATTTCTTGCACACTAGCTAGCTAGATCTTTCATATATTAATTAGAAATCCTGAGTCCTCTAAGTAATATATTATCTCCGTGGTAAGAAAAAGGTGCATCAATTTGCCTTTGAACCCTAGGGTGTGTATTTGTCTTTTAAGCTTCCTAGAAATGGTGAGCTCTTGACCCTCCAGGATGGGTGTTTTATGTAGGCCTTGTCATCAACCAAGAAATATTGTTAGCATTTTATCTTCTATCTCACTAGAAATAGCAAGCTCCCGGCACTCTGAGTTATGGATTCAATGTGGGCCATGTACGTTGTTAGAGCTAAATTCGCCAGAGCTCTTGGTAGGGGATCCTAAGCTATGCGTCTTGGGGCGATGGTAACAAGAACACAGAATTTACTCATGTTCAGGCTCTCTAAGGAGATAAAACTCTATCTCCTACTTGTGTTTTATTGTTTTGGGGTGTGTACAAAGTACATGTAAAACTACTAGGAGATTTTATGATTTCTAATGTGAGTAGGGGGGTGTCCTATCGACTGGCCAGGCCCCGATTTTATTAAATACCAAGGCCTAGGATTACAAGAGCCCTCTGTTACGTCGGTACTTCCTGAGTCTCATTCGTAAAGTGCATCATGGGCCGCCCAAAGGGCTCAGGACAAAACTGGCCAAGGGGTCCTCAGCCCGGCCCAGCAGGTCACGTGTTGAGAGACCCTTGGTCCGGGACACCATCATACGTCATTGACAAATAATATTTTTTACAGCTTCTGACCACATCTTGGTTACTCAAGTGTGTTTGGTCGTGTGTCATTGTGTTGAGGATAAGGGCAGGAAGGAAATGATGGCATGTGCGGGGTGTTTAGGTTTCCATGCATTGATATGCACACATTTGAAGGTATCTCAAGAATGATGTTCAAAATAGTTGTGTTGACACCATTGCAGCCGGTTGGTTCTTTCCAGAAGAGGAGACTTTGCGACGACAATACGAATCATGAAAACTAAGGAAAGTCATGTTTACTAGGTCGAAGTTGATGACAGTTGTCCGTGCGTGAAAGTCTAGGCTCTTCAACTATGTATATGCTTCAGATAGGAGCCACCCATACCAAAACCAGAGAAGTACGACATGAAAGGCTCACAGGCGAATTAAAAACCATCACTGGATACTATAAAGAAACCAACATGGATTTTTTTTTCTAACCTACGGAACCGCCTCACCCCTGTTGTCTCTTTTGAGTTCGACGATGATATCTCTTTGTTGCAGTACTTCCGACCTAACGACGCCACCGACAGCAGGTATCTCACCCACATTTGGACGTTCTCCTCATGGTACGCATATCGACTCTCCCCGCAAAGACACAACTTGACCACAACGCACACTACATTTGGACCTCCAAGGTACCTATCAAGGTACTGATCTTCGGGTGGCTACTATTCCGAGATCGTCTCAACTTGTAGGCTAACCTGCTTCGCAAGACTATCATCCACGACTCCGCCTACCTCACCTGTGATGACCCCTTCAAGGACGTGCTATGCCCAGTAGTTGTGCATTTCTGAATATGCATAGTTACCTGCGCCAACTTTCGTCAACCTTATTGTGGATCTGCAACACCTCAGAGGTCTCCACCATGACATTTGGCCAACAGTTGCCCTCACCATCCTATGGAAGGTTTGGTACGCCCAAAACACTCAGGTTTTCTAATAATTAAAAACATCATGTCTGATTTCTCACACTGGATCGGTAGGTTTAGGTCACAATAACACAAAATTGATACCATGTATGTACCTCTTCTCGTGCACTACTGCAAATCTGTAAACCGGCCATTTATGACCTATTTGAGTAAATGCATTCAGATGAAGATCCTCTTCCTCGATCATGTTCAAAAAATAAAAACAGTCGTGTCATCACAAGAAAACAACATACGGCAAAGAACGGTCTCCTTCTACTCCCTCTATACCAAAATATATTAAATTGCAAAAAAAAAAAATTGATACACCGAGTTTCAGACAGTGTTCAATATTTTGTATTAGCGGACTGTAACACTATTTCAGAGGAATAAATACACACTATTTTCTGCAAAAAAAAAAAGTTCTTACCACCCATGATTCGCCTAGCAATTCGCCCCTATGCCCTGTCGCAGTGAACGTTCCCTGCGGGGGATTAGGAAAATTCGCTGGCGTTTCTCGGCCAATGACGTGGTAAATGGTCTGCGCGTTTGAACCGTTGACCCCCAAAATACAACGAGCAATGCTAGAAGTACGGGCGTTGTACGGGGGATTTACAGGCTCATTGACTGTGATTGGTTGGAATATGATTAAGGGGGACGGCCCCACCCTGAAAATCAGGGGGGGAGCAATTAGATTAGGCCACGTTGTCATCCTGTAAAACTTTGTACGATCATCCTGTACGTGTAGTATTATTGAAATACAACGATTGCCAGAACAAAGCACGGGCTCGCGTACGTACCTCCTCCTGCCCTGCCGTGGCTGGACCGCTGGCGGAGACCTGGACGACGGCAGCCTCCTCATCGGGCCACCGGACGTGCCGGCGACGCCCGCCCCCGCGCACATCGTATGCTGTGGCGCCACTCGCGCACCGAACACGCCGGCCGGCATGTGGAATGGCTCCTTCCGGTGGGCCAAATGCGCCGGAGTCTCTCCGAGAAACTGGCTGGCGCCGGCTTCATCCGTGCTGCACAGGCGCAGGATGTCCCGCGGCCCGGCGTCGAGCTCACGCGGCGCGGCGGCTGCGGCCACGTCGCCCACGCCGTAGTGCTGCAACATGCGGATGGCTCTGTTGTAGGCATGGACAATGCCGTGGCAGCGTGCGGCGATGTAGGCCGGGCCGTTCTGGGTGGCCTGGAGCTCACCCATGAGCTCGCCGGCGAGCCGGAACGCCTCGCTAATCTGCGACAGCGCGTCATCCATCCCTCCAAGATCGTCGTGGCTCGATATGTCTTGCCTTGACGATGATCAGGGTCAGGTAGCTGAGTAGTCGTGCTAATGAAGGACCACCTCTCGTGAATGTGATGCAAGGATGAATTTGTGATGTGTGTACGAGGTTAAGCAAAGTGAGCGCAAGAGCTGTATAAGTAAGGGCACCCCACCCCACCATATACAAGTAATATATACTCTAGGAAACAACGTGGCTCGTACATGGTTAGCAGGCTGCAGCGGGTACGAAAGAGAGAGAACGGGTCTTTGGTCATCCTGGGGACTAGATTAATTACTGCCTTAATGTTGGTTATTGCCTGGTCGAGCAGTCATTTTCTAACTAGTCTTGCATGGTTTGGGTCGTGGGGAAGACCATGAAAGTTGAAAGGGCGTTCTACACGGAAGGATCTTAATTCCAGCCTCTGGTTTCCTTCCCTGCTTTGGCCAAGGACTTCTTCTTTAAAGTGTGTTTGCCGTCCACTTTGTTCAACCTTTTCGTTTGAAGATTCTCGCAAATTCAAAAGACCGACCGACGCGGATGTCATCACCACTCGTTACATACTTCTCATTTGGGGTAGATTAAAGGTAAGCAGTCACTTATCTTAGAGACATTGTAATTGTGCATCATGAATCTCTCTAAGGCCATCCATTTTTTCAGTATTGGCGTGGCTAGTCCTGGCCGAGCAATGCTACACTTAGTCATCTGCAATGCCGACTCTCAAACCATCCGCAATCGTTCGGACCGGACATGTTTTATCATCCAGTGCGTTCTTCTATCGGTCCGCTCGGCGATCCGGGTTTCATTTTTTCATCAAATGGCGCTTTTCATCCAACACACGCCACTTCCTGCACCTCATTCATGCCAACCAGAGCATGTAGCGGCTGGCTTTGAAGCCGCGCGGCGTGACCGGACGGGAGGGCAACACTGACCGACACGACCTCTCGAGTGTCGCCAATTCCGGCCGCTGCACCACATTGAAGCAGGTTGGCCGTCCATTCGCATGGCTTGGCCACGGCCATCCACACCTCCTCCCCGAGCCTCTCCTCCTCCGGCGATGCCAAAATCTTGATTCTCCACACCGGTGGGTAGCGGTAGCCGTGGATCTTCGTTAGGCTCATGGCGCCACCACACTCGATATCCAGGGCACTCGGCCTCCACGGAGGCCGGCTCCTCCGGCAAGGAGGAGATCATCATCTCCTCCGGCGACGAGGAGAACCAGGCGCCGAAGGAGCAGCCGCACCTACTCTTGAGGCCGCTCTGACCAACAAG